GTCAAGTGGTCTGTCCATGTCTCTGCTCCGCCATGGCTTCCTGTTCTGCTGGCACCACTCGGCAATCCTGCTCTGCCTGCTCCACCATGGCTTCCTGCTCTGCCGGCACCACTAGGTCGTCCTGCTCTGCTATGGCTCCTTGCTCTGCCAGCTCCACCATTGCTCGCTCGGCCTGCTCCGCCATGGCTGTCCGATCGGCCTGCTCCTCCATGACTCCCTTCTCTGCCGGCTCTGCCATGGCTCCATGCTCCTATGGATCTGATCCACGGCCCAGGTCCTCAAGTGCTTCACTGTCTGCCACTGCTCCACAGTCTTGGTCCACTGCCATGATCCATGTCCTGTTCCCCTACATGGGCCTGGCCCTCCGTCCCTCCCCCAGTTCCGCCTCCACTCCACCACCCTCCTGGACTTGTTGGGTTTTGGTTGTGTTTGTTTGGGCGTCTGGAGCCGCCCTTAGAGGGGGGGGGATATGTAATGTGGTGTTTTGGGTGTGTTTCTTGTTCATGTTTTCATGTCTTTTATTTTTTAGTTTGTTTCATGCTGTTAGTGTCATGCTTCCCTTGCCCTCTTGTCTTCATGCTATTGGTTCCTCTGTTCATTGTGTCATGTTCTCATTGGTTATTGTCTTGTCGTGTGATTATCAGTTCTGTTTTCTGATTGGTTGTCTTAGTCATGTGTCTTGTTTCCCATTGGTTTGTTCTTGTCATGTGACCCTCATTGTCTGCTATACGTAGCCATCATGTTGTCATTGTTCCTTGTCGTGCATGGAAGTTGTAACCCGCTGTCGGTGAGTCTAGTCTGTTCATGCCTCGTCAAGTCAAGTCTGTGTCGCTAGTCTCGGATTATGCTTGTATTTTGGATCACGTCTGTAAATAAACTGCACATGGGTTCTCACTACGCTCGCCTTCAGTGGACTGAATCATTACAAATACTTAAATTGAATAATGTACAGTATAATTTGAATGCATCATACATCACTTTGAATTAAAGAATCTGCCAAATGCATAAATGTCAAATTCTATCTCCTTTTTAATATGGGCATCTAAATTTGTGACTTAATAAAAATAATATTGTTTGACTATAAGTCAAGTCAAAGTCTATACAACAAAGTTTTTTTTTCTCAAAGCAGGTTCACAGTAATAAACAGGAAAATAGCAGAATCAGTGATGGAAACTTGTGCTGTATATCAGCTCTAACAAGACAGTATAGTGTCATTGTTCAGCTCAATTCAGTTTAGTGTTGATTTAGTTCAATTCAATAAGTGTAAAGTTCATAAATAATGAAGCAAGTTCAGCTATAAGCAGTATGGTTATTTGTCTAAGTGTATTTTTATTTTGCAAATTATCTGCCAATGGGGGAAAAAAATAATCTTGTTTCCATTTGCATTAAGATTATTTTTCTTGTTTTAAGTAAAATGCACTTAATTTAGATTACAAAATACTCACTAAGAAAAGCATTTTTACAGGTAAATGAATGAATGAGGTATTTAAAGGGATAGTTCAAGGTAAACTATCCCTTTAAACATCGCTTGCGTTTTAAAAAGAGGGAGGAGACTGAAAAAAACTCTGGGTTTACCAAAGAAAACCTGCTCCCGACCAGGGGTGCGTTTCCCAAAAGCATCGTTAGCTAACTATGGTGGTTCGTTCCATTGAACTCTATTGGTAACGACGGAACTTGCGACCATAGCTGCTTTTGGGAAACGCACCCCAGGTTAGGTTCACAGTATAAGTTACCTCTCTTTCATAAACGGGCTTGACTTACTCTGCTTTCTCGGGTTTGACAAACCTCCCATTCTGAAAGGGAAAACCCAGAGTTTCCCTCATTTCAGGACATACTCAGAGTTTTCACTTAACCTCCTTTCTGAAATGGGCCTCTGTTGAGGTATGGGCGTGTTTGTTTTGGTGCTTTCATATATCAACATCATTTGGCAAAATTCACTTACTGCACCTTTAAGTAGGGGGCGATAACGAGACAGACACACCTGAGGCCCGTTTCAGAAAGGAGCATTTGACTCCCTAACCCTAACCCTAATCATGCAGATACTCTGAAAGTGACAGAAACGGCATTTCCTTTTATACAGAATCCTGTAGATGAGGCTGCATTAATTCGTAGGGAGTTACATTTACATTGGGAGAGGATTATTTAGATTTTTTTGCCATATCCGCATGCATATTTACTTGAGTGCTATACCATTTTTAAATGGTAGTTTTCTATATAACATCAGGGATGCAGAGCACATTAAGGCCGCTGTATGCGGAGCAGTAAGGAAAGTGTGTCTCGCTCTCACGCTCTTTCTTATAATAATTGTGTTGTTTTCTGAGCACAAACCCATTGAAAATGAAGCTGGTTACTGTATGGAATAGAAGGATGCCATATGGAAGGGTAGTTTGAGATATAAGCCGTAACCACCACCACAGCTGTTACATTTATTTGGTCATCTTTATTTCCTACAAATACAAAAGCAACAGTTATTCTTTCTCCTGTTGGATTTTAATATTCTTCAATACTTGGTATTGTGGCCATCTCCTCTTCATCTGTTCTTCATTATTTTTGTGAGCCTTCTTGCTGTTGGCTGAGTAGATGTCAAATGTTCATTTCATTACTCTAATTAAGAAATGCAACAGTTTGGATTAGAGAGCATTTAATTATGTGAAAAGAGCATTAAACTGTGGAAAAAGCTGCTGCGCACTAAAATAGACACTGAATTATATTTATTTAATGTAAAATGCTTGTAAAGTCATGTAGCCTACACTCATGAATCTTTAATGCTTAAAGCTTAACCTTGATTGAATTATATGTTTTTATACTTCATTTTCGCTTCTTTTTTTTTTTTTTCTTTTGCCTGTAGGATACCATGAAAATTAATATTACTTAAATAATTTACCGATCTGCCACTTTTTACCTTTGATATTATAACAGTGATTAAGAATTAAAGTTACTTATTGACTCGTGTGCTGTTGCCATGGTGAATCATCATTTAGAGTTTCCCATCTCAGGGTAAGTCAACTCAGAGTTCAAGTTTCAACCCCGAGTTGGTTGAACCTCCTTATTGAAAGGGCCCTGAGCATAATGAATTCAAATGAGTAACCATGACGACAAACAAGGAGCGGGAAACAGTGCAAGACACAGACAGAGTTCATGGTGGTTTGACAATATGTGCATTAGAATAAATGATTAATTTAAATGTTATTTAAGAAACTTACAGTACACTCATTACAGGGACAATCACCTGGGTATGTAGTTACAACATATTATGAACACTTATTTTGAATATATAGAAGCATGAATGAGTTTGATAATTGTGGCAGAGGCCAAGATTTTCTACTTTTAACACAGCATCTTAAAAACACAACTCTCACACTGAAAAAAAAACAGCTAGAAGTTTCTAAGTCTGATTCATTTGTACACAGTAAACAGGTTTGCGGATGAGTAAATGAACTATAAACACAAAGACATAGAAAATTCTATCAGCCTAGTAACTAAAGTAATCAAATTATCACCAAAACACAGTCAGGACAGCAAACGCATGCCCTCCTGATCTGCATACGAACCCCGCCCACCGCCTCTGACTGTATCAGTATGAGAAGAATATGAGGAAATTGTTGCGTTTCAGGGGGCGTGGCTTAGATCCAACTCACTTCTCATAAGTTTGGGCTTGGGTTTAAACTGAAGTCAAAGCTCAAGACAGAAGCAGAGCAATCATGGGCGACGTGGTGCTGACAGCAGATCTGCCAGCAAGCAGCTTGAGTGCAGACAGACTCAAGAGGAAGAACCCAGAGGAGAGCAATCTGAAGTCCACAGAGGAGAAGATCAATGGATCTCCAAAGACAGAAAACCAGACCGCGGGAGAGAAAGACAGCAAGACCATTGAGGAAAGCAAGATTCAGGAAGACCTTAAGGAATCAGAGGACCCTCAGAAGCCTCAGGATGAAGAGGAGGCGCTGGGGCCAAACGATGTCACCTGTGACTCCTGCATCGACC